TTTTAGATATAAAACATTTTCTGGGATGGATATTTATCACGTACTGTCACAAGATTTGAACAATTTTACTCTCATATCCGGTGTAAGTATATCTATATCTATATCTATCTATCTATCTATCTATCTATCTATCTATATATATATATATATATATATATATATATATATTACGCAACAAAATACAAAATTACCTCATATGGGGGGTATAGACCGGTTTCATCCAACGAGAAGTTCATTAGTCTTATTCAACACCGGTGTACGGACTGTTCGTGACCGAATTAGAAATTTAAATTTAACTTTGACAGCAATCGAAAAATTGATACAGAATTCAACCATTTCGATGTTTCAGTCAGACGAAATGCCCAAGTCGGTAGTAAGGGCTTGATTGAAGGTATTAGCCTTAAAGGGAATAAATTTTATAAAATTAACCCGGATATAGTTAATATTATAGCGTAATTTCGTTGGTTGAATTAGATCTATACCTTCCCCCATATAAGGTAATTTTGGATGTTGTTGTGTAATTTTTATGCTCTGTTATAATAAATACATTGAACTCTCCGTGGATTCGATTTAATATCTGATATTGCTAGGATCACTTGGATTATATACCAACGGATTTATTACCTGTATTATATATATATATATATATATATATATATATATATATATATATATATATATATAGTAAAGCAGAACCTACCTACTCTGAAGATTTGTTAGGTGAAAACTGGGTAGGTAGGTTCTGGCTCACTAGGTTTTTAGATTTTGCTCTGCTTACTGTATTGAGCACTTTTACGTTTTTACTTAATTTCCTCGGTCGGTGTTTTTTTTTCTTTTGACTAGGCATTGCAGTGCTGATTGATTATTTTCGACCAACATGAATGTCTTCAGTTTTTTCTTTATTACTCAATTTTTTCCCTGATATAGTTGGGTTGAAATAAATATATCTTTATTTAGAAAATGTATTATCCGGTTTTTTTCACACAACCATTGTATAGGTATTAAAATAATGCACATCTATCTATCTATCTATCTATCTATCTATCTATCTATCTATCTATCTCTCTCTCTCTCTCTCTCTCTATATATATATATATATATATATATATATATATATATATGAAAATGTATTAAAATATAAATATATATATATATATAATTATTTATATATTAGATGCGCGGTACTTATTAGAAAGCGCTCAATATCAGAGATAGAGCTAACATATTTAGTTGGATAGATGTGAGTTTGTGACCCTGGGTTTCACGCTTTGGCGATCGTCAGACAAACTCTGACGATCGCTAAAACGTGAAACCCAGGGTCACAAACTCACATCTATTCAACTAAATATATATATATATATATATATATATATATATATATATATATATATATGCATCATCAAAACTAAGGGACAAAATTTTAAAACCTAATATTTGTTAGAAATAACAACTGTGAAAAGCTGAAATTTTGACAACTGGTAGTCGTTATCATCCATAATAACACACTAAAATTTGATTCATTTGCAAAGGATAGAAAAAGAATTATAGCAATTATTTATTTATTTTCAAATTTGGAACGTCCAAATGTAAGGGACAAAATTGAGAAAAACAATGTAAACGGCAAAAAAAAACAATAAAAATACATGTACAATCAATATTTAGTAAATGAGCCCTTGCTCTCAATGACAGCTGCACATCTTCGACTACAAGAACGAATCAGTTCTTGACAATCCTCGATACTAATTTTAGACCATTCTTCTTGAAGATTCACCCACAAATCCTCCGTGTTAGTGGGATTTCTTTCCATAACTTTCACTCCTAAAGTCTTCCAAAGATTTTCTATTGAATTTAAGTCAGGACTTTGCGGTGGCCAATCCATAATTTCCAAATATTGCTCGCTAATGTAACTCATTACCACTTTTGCCTTGTGACATGGGGCATTATCTTGCATAAAGGGATCCCTATCGAAACCTGATTTCTGTATGATTGGCACAAAATGATCTTGAACAATGTTTTTATAGATCTGCACGTTTACACGAGTTTGTAACCGGACAAGAGGCGTTGTACCTTGGCTAGAAATCATTCCAAATACCATGACGCTTTCGCCCCCAAACTTGACAGTTTTCTTAGTACACTTTGCACTTAATCTTTCACCATTACGTCTCTTTACATTGTTTTTTTCCATCATTTCCAAATAAATTAAACTTGCTTCATCACTGAAAAGTACTTTTTGCCCAATTTTCATATGTCCAAATTACATACCTGTTTGCAAACTCTAATCTCTTCTTCTTATTCTTCGAACTAACAAGTGGTTTCTTCCCTGGGGTTCGATTAAACAGCCTATTTCTTGCAGTCGTCTACAAACAGTCTGTCTTGACACATTAACACATGAGGGTACTATTCATAACCCTTTTTAATTTCTGTGCAAGACTTAAAACGGTCCTTTAATGACATACGCTGCATTATTCAATCTTCTCTTGCCGAAGTTTTGCGGTGTCTGCCGGTGTCTGCACTAACTATTTTGCCAGTATCATTGTAGGATTTAACAACCCTGCCTACAACACTCTTGGAACGTTTTCTTTTTTTTCTGAAATCTCTCTAATGGTGTGCTTTTCCTT